TGTGGGCTATAAAGGACGAGCGCTGGTTGTAGTTTCGTGCGTTTTCTAAAGATAAACCGTACAGGTTGTTAAAGATTCTAGTTTGCATCCAGTTACGCATGACTATACTGTATACACACACCTAACCATTTTTTTTATTCATATACGCTTGTAAATTTAATTCAATGATATTGATATGTATACACACTGGTGTTTATTAGATCATTCGCAAGTTTTTTTTTTCTCTAAAGAAGACGAACTGGTCTACTGTATACGCTTCTTTGTTCGCCACGTTCAATAATATCTAAAATGAATTTCAGACCTCCCCCACAATTTAGTCGGAAAAGATTGGTGTACAAAAGGTGTGTGCACAGCAAAAATTGAAGAAGCTACGACCATGACAATCACTTTCAACAACTTAGGTGTGCAATGCGTCAAAAAGAAAGACATCAAACAATCTCTCAACCTACGAGAAGACATCAACGTAGATCCGTTTAGAAGTAAGCAATTTTTTTATATTATTTTTTATTTAAATTTATCATTATGTAAATTAATAGTAATTTTTCAGCTGGGTTTTCTCACGCTTCCGAACCTAGCAGTATAGATTTGAACGCCGTGCGTTTATGTTTCCAAGTCATCCTCGAGGGCGATGCCCATGGTAAATTTACGATCCCTTTACGTCCAGTTGTCTCTGAGCCTATTTATGACAAGAAATCAACATCAGATTTAGTTATATGTGAACTCAGCCAATGCACGGCGTCCCGCGGCGGGAGGCCAGAAAATAATTCTATTATGCGAAAAGGTAACATATTGAGAATCATCGCGGTATGGGTATGGAATGTTTCCTAGTTAAAACCTAATAGTATTTCATTATTACTAATTAATTAAATATTTATTTCAATGGTTATTCTTAAATAAAATTACCTTCATTTGAGTTAGCTTATGAAGTAATAGTCATCTTTTTATAGGGTTTTCAACCTTTTGCAAATTTAACGGCATTAATAAATAAATTCAAATTACGCAAATAATAAATACTTAAAAACTTATGAACTTAGATTATTTAAAATTAGGTACCTACATCAAAGATATTTTTGTAATAATTTTTTGTGATAATAAAAATAATATAATAATTAATTGATTAGTTTTGTTGTCAACTAATATCATTAGAAAAGCGTTGAATTATTAATGTACATAATTTAATACTAATTTGGGATTTTAGGTGAACAAAGATGATATTACCGTGAGATTTTTTGAAGAGCAGGATGTTTAGTTTGCTGGGAAGACTATGGCTATTTTAAATTTAGCAACGTGCACAAACAAACTGCCATTTCTTTCAGAACGCCATCTTACAAAAATCAAGATATTGAAAACCAGTAAAGGTAAGATTTCAAATATATTTCAAGATTTTTCCCTTGCAATTTTTATTAGAAAAGTTTATTGATTGATTATTTTGATTTAAGGCATTTATCCAACTAAGAAGACCATCAGACGGTGCGGTTAGTGAGCCTTTAGCATTCCAGTTTGCCCCCACTATATTGGTAAGAAAGATAAGAATTAGTTTTATCAATACACTTTGATAAATTAAAAAACAATTTATTATCATAATTTGTAAGTATTTTATGTAAATTTTTAATATTTTTTTAAAAATAGATTCCAGCCAACCTGCCTCGAAAAAAGCACGAATGACCACTGACGCAGGACATCTGCTCAAACAGCTTCAAAAACATGGCGACGAAAATAATTTAAGTAAGTTTTTTTTTTATCTCTTTAGAAAATTTAATCAGGTATATTTCATAATCAAATCTAAAAATGTATTAGTTATTTCTCGTTGTCTCGAGCAAAATCGCATAAGAAGGCGTCCATGAATCACGTGAGCCTTAAAGTGGGATTACAAAAAATCACAAAATATCATGTAGGGGAGGGAGGTCTAGTAAGATATCACGTGTATGTATTTTTTTACCTCAATTTAAAAAAATCTAAAGTTTTTCAAAAATTATTCAAAAATTTTACAGAATTTTTTTCTGTGTAATAAAATTAAACGTGATGTTGTGTAGAGAAGGCGGGATCATTTTAAATATCACCACATATTACCAAGGAAGAGGGGGGTCCAAAAATCCTTAGAAATCGCTCACGTGATTAATGGACGCCCCCTAATTGACCGAAATAAACTCTACTAAAATGAAATCATTGATGAAATTGAATTTCTTTTAGAACGTCCATAAAATAAAGAAGGGCAGCCACCTCTTCCGTATATTCAGTTAAATATAAAATGGAAATTTGTCATTTCCTACAGGATGTCTTAATAATTAATAATAAGTTACATGAATTAAAGTTAAATAACAAACGAAAGTGCGTAAGTTATTTTTAACATAAGTGTATATTTCATATTACATTAAGAACAAAAAAAAATCATTGATGATTTATTGAATTAATTTTTACAACGTATCTATCAATTTAATTTATTGTGGAACTCTAATTTATTCATCGGCACGCAAGACAATCGCATAAATGTTACTCAGATTGCGTCTTTTACCCAAATGAATGCGTCATTAAAACAAGTTAGGTCAGTTTTGAATGTTTTACGATTTAAATTTATAAATAGATGCGTACATTTGATGCAATAATGTCTACTCAAATAATCATAATTTATTCATGTTTCATTTTTATGTTAAATGTAACACATTGACGTAAAAAGAAAAAATACCATACTGGAGAGAAAGTTTGAATAGTTGAACGATCTATTAGGCAATATAATTCAATTTTATATAAAATTTTATCAGATTAATGCATATTTTATTAAATCTTCATGTATTTTTCTGAAATATTGCATTAAATTGTTAACGTCCTATAACAGGAAAAATAATATTTTAAATTGAATTATACTAATCTCCATATTTATTGTTTTTGCAAGCGTATAAATTTATAGAGACAAAAAAATTGTGGATAAAAAGCGATGTTTTCCTTAATAATTATAAATTGCACACGAGTCATGTTGAAAAACAATAAAAAATTACTAGTGGGTATTAATTTTATTGTATCATTTGCAGATGTTCAAACCAAGAAGGAAGAAAACATGATGAACATACCCGTTGAAGGAAATCAGCATGGTCATCATCCAATGCATATGATGCAAGAGCCCCTGAATCTTGGTCGAAATGGTGAGCATTAATGCAATGCATTATATTATTAGTTTATTATATTTATATATACACACATATATATATATATATATATATATATATATATATATACATACATTTGGATAGTTTCAACTAAGATAGTTTCAACTAAAATGTATCATTTTTTGTGGACAAACATTGAGGTTTTTACTAGTCATAGTCAAGCAAAGTGGATTGCGTATTTTTAACTCATAACGCGTCAAATCGGATAATCGTTAAATTTAATAAAATAACATTTAAAATAATGAAACGGCATTGCTACGACTTGCAGCATATTAATAATCTACGCAAAACCTACATGCGTAGGTGCTGAGAGTGAAGCCAAATTAGAAAATGGGTAATATGAAATAAATAAAAGGAAAAAATACGAATTGCCATTATATTTAGAACGCGATCAACGAAATTTGGTTTGAATTCGATTAAAAATATAATTATGTATAAATATACACAAATAGTTAAAAAAAGTTTATACATTATTCGTTTTCAATTGCTGTTTTAGCTTTTTTGAAAACCATAAAATTGTCTATAACTTAAAATCAGATGCCTGAGAACAATTAATTTTGAAAGCTTTTGTGAAAATCTAATTTAATTCCATAGTTGGAATTGATTTATTTTATAGTAGGTACATCTGATTGTTAAATCTGTCTACGTAAACTTAGTACAAATTATATAATATTATGATAATTGAATTGCTTTATGAACAATTTGTGTTTCCTATTCACGCGGCTCATAAATTTATCTACACCCAAAATTAATATAATTGACGTCACACGACAGCGAATGAATCTTGTAACTGTATCAGACTTGCGTAAAACCTAGATAATCTCTACGCTGAATTTCTCTTCTTGCATGACAAATGCGTATAGTATGTTTATAATGACGTTAATAATATAATCATGTGGTAATTATATTAACTTCCCGAAGGAAAAGTTTATGTTTTCATCAAAAAATTCGAATCGCTAATTTTGTTTTCTCGACGTTTCAAGCCATTCTAAATCGAATGAGACAAAATTTCGGAAAAAGTATGTGTGTGTGCGTATGCACGCACAGATTTTTTGCCGTAAATCGAAGTTTTCTCAAAAACCGATTTCAAAAATTTAAAAGCCATTCGATGTATCTCGTTAAGGACTAGCGTTTATCAACTTTGCGCGACGATCATCCAAGCCGTTTCTTTGTAAATCGCAGAAAAGTGAAAAATTTTCGTCCACGTTTTAGCTCGCAATTCTGAATCGATTTTGAAAATTCAAAAACCGTTCGAAAGATATTGGTTGGGAATCGTGCTGATTAGTTTTTGGTTAAGATTGGCCGGGCCGTTTTCTTGTAATAAAGTTTTTTTAAAAAAATTTCGACGATTTTTATGTTTTTTTGACGGTAAATATCATAGTCTTCTAGATCATACTAAAATATTACCGCCCTACGACAATGAGCCCAATAGTTTGTCAATTGTGAGAGACGATCTGCCGAACAGTTTTTTTGTAATTTGAAAAAGAGTGTTAAACTTTTCGTCCACATTTAAGCTCATTCTACCCAATCGATTTTAAAAAATCAAAAACTTTTCGAAAGATATTAGTTGGGAATGATACTGATTAGTTTTAGGTGAAAATCTACCGAGCTGTCTTCTTGTAATTAACTGCTGAAAAAAAATTTAAGCCGATTTTTATGAAACTTTATTTGGCGATGTATATCATGGTCTTATAGAACTTACTGAAATATTACGGCCTTACGACAAGTAGTTTAATTTAAAAAAATCATCATAGTTTGAGAAAATGAGTAGTTTTGTTGATGTTTGTTAAAATTAAAATTAGACGATTTACTTGGCATAACGTTAGAGTATTTAGTATTAATAAACGATTATAAAGTCCTACGGAAACTGGATCAATATAAAAATCGAAAATTTGCTTCTAGAAAATACTCCGAGTTAACGTGTTCGTTCGTTTTCAATTATGTGTAATAAATTCACTCGGAATACTTCTAATCACTTATAAATTAATTTGTTTATTATTGATTAAGTCGATTATTTACACATATCGGGAAGTTCATGTAACTTGCCTCAAGGCAAGTATACCATAATACCAACTAGTTTAATCTTGTATCCCAGAGAACTAAGCACGAAATAAATAATTGTTTCATTTTTAGAAGGGTCGAAATCATCTAGGGTATATCAAAAGTACGAAGGATATTATTTATAGGCCGGTACATCGAATAAAAAGGGATAAATTTTTGCACAAATTTGATTTATAACTTTTGAAATATTAATAGAATCTATATAGTATATTTGGGAAATTTGTTCAAAATTAAATGATTAATAATATTGTCTAACAACATTAGGCCCTACAACAACTGGATTTCTTGATAAAGTATGCCAAACATTCGAAAACTCTACAGAAACTCGGGAGTCAAAAAGTACTCAAAAATACGCTTTTTTCATAAATTATATGACAAATTATACAATCAACTAATACATTTGCACAAAAAAAAAACAATAATATTGTATATCGAACTGTTTTAAAAAATAGAAATTGTACAAATAATTTTTACTGCAACTTATAATTATTGAAAAAAACATTGATTTTTATTCACAATCTTCTGTATCTATAATTTTATACCTTTTTACTTAATCTATTGTTTATACATATCGTTAAATAAGTAATGGCTACGACACTGTTGCGCATTGACTTAATCGTTACGAAAGTTCGGGCTGTAATATTTTCATAGATGCCTCCTCCTGTTGCAGAAGCCCCGGCCCCGAGTTCTTTCTACCAGGATTGGCGCACGCTCGGGCCGACGTCGCACTACCGCTATCCTACGCCCTACGACATTACCCCCTGCCCCCGATACCATGCTCCTGCTGCGCCTTATACCCAATCTATCTACCACGGCAGCCAGTATCAATGGCCGCGCACTACGGACCGCCTAGACATTCTTAAGGATCGCCAAACACCGGTTGCCAATCAGCACCAGGCGTCGGAGAAAGCTGCAGACATGTACTCCCTACAAAACCAAAATATGTCGCAGTACCATCAACAACAACAGTCGAACTACTACTACCAGCACAATGACGAGTATAAATACTTAGCGAATAGATATCATTACGATATGATGAAGAAGGAAACAATTCCTAATAATAGCCAACCTAAAGACCTTCCTGCCGTTAACCATTATCAAGAATATACAGTTAAAAGTGAGGCTCAATGTCCGGATGTCTCTAAATATCAACAGCATGCTACGTATTTCAGCGAAAAGGATGTTCCTAAAATATCAAAATTGTTAAATGATCAACCGTCAACAGTGCATAAGCCAACTGCAAGAAAACAAAACGAGTCCAAAGCAATGCCTGCACCCCTATTGAATGCTGTTCAAAACAGTGATGGTCCCAGTTTCAACAGTCTGATGAATATGGATAGTCAGCAATTGGCTCAACTGAATTCAACAGACTTAACAGGATTATCAGGTTCGTAATTTCTTTTATTATAAATATATATATATATATATATATATATATATTAGGGTGGTCCTTCAGGGGCTCAAATGGTTCCAAATAGATAAAAACAAGTCTCTGAAAGTTTTAGCTCTTAATATTAACGTTTAGATAGAGCGCAATTCAATCAAAGTTTTGTATGGTAATAGCATGAACAAATTTTCAAAAATTTCAAAAATGTTTTTAGGTGTAATTTAGCGAACAAATGAATGAATAAAACTCATTCATTTGTCGCTAAGTTATACCTAAAACATTTTTTTTAATTTTCAAAATTCCATGCTCTTTCCATACGAAGTTTGATTGAATTGCGCTCTATCTAAACGTTAATATTAAGAGCTAAAACTTTCAGAGAATTGTATTTTATCAATTTGGAACCATTTGAGCCCCTGGAAGCAAGGAAATTCGATAATGACCATTTTAAGGACCACCCTAATGTATATATATATATATATATATATATATATATAATAACTAAAAAATAATTTACAATTCATTAAGAAGACATTTCATTTCTATAAAAGATTTGAATTTCTTTAAAAGTTTATACCACTTTCAACAAAAATCAATAAATATTTGCAAAACTGCAAAGAAAAACGTAAATGTTTGACAAAAATATGAATTAGTATTAGTACTTATACTATATAAATACTATGTATATAGTTCATAAAATTTTAAAAATCAAAACTCTAATTAATCCTCATATTAAGTAAGGTGAATAAGGAGCCAATTCTGGGGTAATATAGACAATACCATAGTTTAGTTATGGTAACGCTATCTTATCCTTCTTTAATGATACTAAAAAACTGTAAAAATGCTATATATTTGCTGTGCGATCAGGCGTATTTTACATATAGACAAACTTATAAAGAATGTTATCTTAACTGCTTATCGTATGTGATGCGCATTCATAACATACGATTTTATGTGTAAAACGCTAATTGTACATCAAATATATAGCATTTTCACAGTTTTTACACACTGTCAAGAAAGAAAGATAAGATAGCGTTGCCATAACAACGCTGTTATCGCCTATGTTACCACAGAATTGGTCCCTAAACCTTTTATTTAAAGAGAAAAAGTAGTTATTGAAAATATTAAATTTTCAATGGCTACGATATTGTTATAATCTGAAACCAGTAAATACACAAATGTGATTCAATTTAAAAAAAAATCATTTTTTACAATTAAGTAAAGTTTCCACATATTTTACATAATTTTTCTTCAAAGAGTAAAATATCTGCCTGTATATTATATTATCATAATATAAGTAAACATAGATTTTTAATATAATTACATATTACAGGTCTTTTAGAACCTTATTGTCTGCCAAATGAAAAGACTGCTGCAGAAAAATTGGCTGAGGAACATGAAAGTATGACGGACAGCTTCACTAAAATGTCTACTAATGAAATTGAAGATTTAACCGTTGCCAATGTGAATAATTTTAACAATATGTGATTAGGACAAATTTCTTTCCAAAGAAAATATGACATGCTCGTTTGTGATGGCTAATATAACAAATTTCGGGATATCACAAAGAAAGAGTTCATAGTTAACAAATACATATTTAGTGTGCCACATGTTGACCAAAGACTGCTAAATTATTTTGTATACTTTGTAAATATAATATTCTATAGATCCAATCGATTGATTGAATTGTACTTATAAACAATATTTAAATTTATTGAGTAAGTTTTAATGTAGTGTAAATAAAATAATTCTGAATTAAGATGTACCTGATATCTAACCATAAGTATCATCTACTCTATATTGTAAATTTAATAGATTGTAAATATAGTTAAGCACGGATTGTAAATAGCTTTAAATGTATATATTGTGCGATATGAAAGAAAGAATTATATATTTTGAAAACAAAGGCATTTGAACATTATTTTTTTGATATATATACTAGTTTGATAAGCTTTGATATAGATACACCAATAATTTGATCACATAAAAAAAATTACTATTTATTCTTAAAAAATCTATTAATACGACAAATCTATGAAACTAAAATCTTAAAATACATTCAAAATATTTTGAAATTTATTATATATATATATTATTATTATATATTTAGTATATTTATTAAATTATTTAATTTTCAAAAATACGGGGCTAGCAAATGTAATGAAAAAGAAGTTTTTTGAGTGAAGTTCAATATATATCATAAACTAAATAGTCGTTTTATTCACATAATCTTATGGTGAAGGAATATTTATAATTTACAGCCCGCTCATATCTAATTAATCACAGTGATCCACACCATAATTGGAAACGCTATGTTACGCTCTTTCTTGGTATTAAAAACTGTCAAAATGCTATATATTTGCTGTGCGATCAGGCGTTTAATACATAAAAACTAACTTCAGGTATGTCTTATGCATGCACATTAGAAAGATGCACTTATGATAACATCGTGCGTTAAAACGCCTTATTGCACAGCAAATACATAGCATGTTGATAGTTTTTAGCAGCAAGAAAGAAGCGTTAACAACAATATGAGAATATACATTCATTGACCCCTTTATTTGTAATATCTTTGAAGATCGAAATTAAAACTACTGCATTTACCTGAACAAATTCTATTAGTGAATTATGCTTGAACGATTGTCAAATAAATAATCTGCAAAAACATCAGCCAAGAAATGAATAAAGTCATATTTTGCCATAAAAGGCTTACAGGTGAGACATTTTTTTTATAGAAACTTCATAAAAAGCTTACTTCTTAACTACGAGTATTTCGTATTTCTATTTCACAAAGTCGGGCTGCTTTCCTATCCTTATCGGTTACATTCTCAACTATCTTATTCTCAATCTATCTTCCCCTAAATCTAATAAATTCTTAACACTGGCAACAAAAGCCAAATGTTTTTTGAGTCATTCTAATCAGATGATCCGTTCTCTCAATAACTGCTACTTTTTGCAATTTTTGCTCCATGTCTCCAAAATGGCTGCACCTGTCTTTGCCAAAAACTAATCAACCACCCCATCAGTAGAAATCGAATGTTTTTTCAATAATTCAAATCGGTGATCCGTGCGCCCGAAATCGTGAACAAAAAATTGTATCCATACATACATACACACACACATCCATTTTCTTAGGAAGTCCAAAATGTTCAGAAACCTTCAAAACGTGAAGAAATGTAATAGTTTTCAATTAATTTCGATTCCTATTGATAGGGAGATGTGCTGATTAGTTTTTGGCAAAGGCAGGTCCAGCCGTTTCGGAGATACGGAGCAAAGATTGCAAAAAATAGAAATTGAGTTTTTAAGAGATCGTAGCATCGGATTTGATTGATCCAAAAAACATTCAATTCGTAATGACGGGGAAAAATGGTGATTAGTTCTTGGCAAAGGCAGGTCCAGCGGTTTTGGAGATACAGAACTAAATGTTCAAAAAAATGGCAGTTTTTGAAAGAACTAAGCATCCGATTTGAATGATCCAAAGAACTTTCTGCTTGATTTAACAAAATAATTGCTTTTGAAAAAAAATTTGTGTTTCAATTTTTTTTGTGAATCGAAAATAATTCAGATTTTAATTTTAATCCTGGCTAAAGTTTTAAAGCTCACTCATAAACTTTAAATGAATAATTTTAACTTTGTAATTCAATTTATATAACTCTTATAAATATTCGACAATGTTACAGTATTTATAATCATCTATATGTAAACATTTAATATTCCTCGAATATTTCGTTACGGTACGGGAAGTTCCAGCAATTTTCCTTAAGACACGATGCCATAAACACCATTAGTTTAATTTTTTTGCCGGTACGTCATTCCGGCTAATCATTTTTAGGCCAGAACGCCAAAGCTCGTTACGACTTGCAACACCACTCTACATACGAGATATAGAGCTATATCTAGAAAGAGATATAGAGCCGAAGAATTACTCCAGATATTGTTGTAAAAGTGATGATGGCGAATGAAGCTGAGTGGAACATCATAAGCACATTTGCTACCAAAGTGCTAACAGACCTGCGATTTTCGGAAAGAAGAAGAGCGAATGGGAATAAACTGTCGATAAGTATAATTTCAGAGCGAGAATTATAGCATTCTAGATCCTCCCCCCGAAAGAAACGCCTAACGGCGGTTTCCGTGGGGCCCATGATTATCGGTTCCAGATCTGCAGAGGCAAGTGCAAAGCGGTGGTTTCACTCGGTGTTATACCCAGGCGTTATTGAGTTCGACATACCCAGACAAAAAACTAGTCTATAAATGCATTTGCTTTACAACTGGACAGATCCATTTAATATAAGACATTCCAAAATGTTCAGAAACCTCTGAAACGTAAAGATATGCTGCAAAGATTTTCATTTTCGATATTTCAACGATTGCTAGATAAACTTACCCCATCGGAAGTTAATTTAACCGGAATATGATTAAGACAATGATTCAACTTGAGCAACCTTACCCTACCTTCGCAACTGTTTACATACAATATGTCAAATTTGATGAAATTTTGACACAACTTATATTTAGTGGCGTGCAATAAAGATATATTGAACATGTCTTCTTCTAATTTTTGTAATACGTCACAATTAAAACTTACATGTATCTGCTATAATATATTCAATATTTTATTTACTTACGATACTTATAAGTATCGTATACGATAATTACGAAATTTATATAATAAACTCATAACTATAACACTTTCTAAAGAATAAGATACAATCGCAAATATGAAAATATTTAAATATTATGATAAAAAAATAGTTGATAGACTGCATATATAAGTTTTAAATACTATGTAAAATATCAGGATTTGTTCACAGTTAGGATACCGCGTCATATCCTATACTTTTATGACATTGAATATTTATTACATGAATAATATTATTTATTAATATTAATATATCACTATTTTAAACAAAATAACTACATATACGTAATTATATATTTATAATAACAAAAAGGAATTATAAACCGAATGATTTATAGACGTAATTTAGTTTAATTTGTAAAAGTAGTTTGTACTTCGTAAAAGTAGATGTACAGTAGTTTGTACTACGTTACATCTGTTCATAATTATTTTGTTTAAAAACAGTACTTTTGTCATAAATAGCACTTTTAATATTTGAATTAGCACTCACCATATCCAAAATTCATGCAACTTTTTCGTAAAATGAAAACACTTTACAAACCAAAACACTACCAACGCAACATACTCATATATAATATATAAATATGCATGTTAAATATATAAGTAAATATGAAAAGTAATATGAGTCGATCGTCATGATGCTTAAATTACTAAAAAAATCACAACATTTCACATAATTTTCAGAATACTTCAAATATATTTTTACTGCTTTGACTTAAACTGCGTTTTAGATACTAGTGCCACCTTTTCCCTCTAAGAATAAATGTTGAACTATTCTTTCTTTATTTTGTTGGTATACATACTTTTTTCAAACTGTCATTGTGGTAACTCTAACATCTAGCTAGACATTAGGTGGTAACAGATTTGTTGAGAGATTATGTGGTTTTGTTTAATTAAATTTATTAATTTATATTACGCTGACACTACTAGACAAACCTAGTATCGAAAGGTTCGTAACAAATATTATTTAATTAAAGTGCAAAACAAGTGGTTATATAAATATATCTTTGAAAAAAATGATACTAAATGTTCAGTCAACTTGCCAATGAAAATCGCGGGCCGTAACAAATCATAGAATTATGTATCCAAACAATGTCATTTTTGTTATTGATGACAATTGTCATCAATATAATTTATTTCAATGCTAAGTATATTATTTTCTATAAAATAAAATATTGCATTTCAAAATTTCATATCATGCTGACGACAAAACAAACCAAGACTCATATTAACTATAACTTTTAATGTTTTAAATAAATTTAATAAAAAATTAAAATTCTCTTACAAAAATTATTCCCAACGATTGTAACAATTTTGGTGGATTTTCAAAAACATTAGAATAAGTATGTTTGAAAATGTGATGGCCTTAAAATTAATCTCATAAAATTAGTGCTAACACACTTCGATTAAAACATTTTATCACTGTTTCTCCAACTAACAATATTTAAATAAAAATATTACTGATCACTTTATTTCATTTCCTAATATTGCTCTTTATGCTTAGTAAAGTTGTTATGTTATGTTAGAATTTCAATTGGCATATTGATTATCAAATATTAGTAGACAATAATGAAGAATTCAGATCTTAATCCAAAATGAGTAAAACCACAAAATAAATATTCAATCAACAGTTTCAGAATGTTTATTAGGCTTTTGTTTTTACTGAAAAAATATCACTACAAATTAATTATATACATATAGATTATTGCACTATCGGATAATATATATATATATATATATATATATATATATATATAATACTTAATAATTAATACTAATTAACTTTGTAAATAAACTAATAATAAGTACTCCTATTTTATAAATATTTACACCAAACATCTGCAATATTTTTGTGCTAATAAATTTAGCAACTGCCAAGTAATAAAATAAAGTTTTTGTTTTATCACATATTATTTAAGGCTGTCATTTCAAGTTTTGATAAACTATCAGTCATGCTTTCATGCTCAGCGGACACCCTTACAGCCTGTGCTCGGTCTAAGTGTTCTAAAATTCCTAAATAATATAAAGAAATAATAATCTTAGAACATTATGCATAAGTCAAGAGATATTTGCAGGATTAAAACCAAAATTTTAAACTGTACCTGATAAATCTCCGGAATTAAGTTGAACTAATTGTTGACTGTCCATATCCAACATACTGCTAGTAGGACCCCCTAATGAGAAAAATAAAATATTTAATATTAGATATTTAAATCATTACAATAATTTATGTTATGTTTACATGTTCATCAAAAGCACTTTACATATATTATTATACTTAATATGCATATTATGGTATTTTTAACACTAAAGATTATCTCCAAATTAATAAACATTGTACAGTTTGAAAATTGATGTAGGAAGACTTGAGTGTGGAATGCCTGTCATATTTATTATTTAGCTAATGAAGTACGCTTTCAAATTTGAAAATCAATAAGCAGCAATTTCAGTAAATTAACTGTTTGACAAAAAATATAAACATCATTTGCTCAATTACAACTCAGAAATGTTGATGCAAAAACACCATGTTTGAGAAAATCTTTTGAAAAAGCTAAATTCATAAACCAATTAATCAATTCAACTATTTATGATCATTTTAACTGTTTTTTAATTACATTGATATTCATTGATTTATAAAAATAATTGAAGATATTCATTGATTTATAAAAACAAAGTAATTTTTGAAACAATCCAACTATATTTGAATTGTCGATTTGTTTCAAATGCAACTTAATATCTTTATATTATAAGATTTTATCTTATAATTATTCATGAATAGAATTAAAATAGAAGCAAATAAATAAAGCCCAGGTATATTTGTTTAGATCATGTGAAATCAAAATATTTTTATTATTTGAAACTTACCTTGCATTGCATTCTGTGGCTCTATATTCATAACTCGATTTAAATCGTTCATTACAGGTAGTCCTGCATTCCAATCGATGGGTTGCTGACTCTGAAAATTGTTCATCTGCTCATAATGGGGCAAATTATACTGAGATGCTTGATCTCCCCCCAAAGGCGAAGGATTGTTGTAAGGATGCGGCATGTTGAAAGGCTGCGGTGATGGACTGTCCTGGGCACACCTATACGATCCGCCAGTAAACATGTACGGCAACGGTGAGGCATCTGCAAACAAATTATGTATTCTGATAATTTCATTCAAAATCCGGAGTTTTGCTTAAATAACTTTATTCTGTAAATTCAACGTTTTCAAAGCAATATAAATCAGCTGGAGGAATATCAACTAACCAGCTAACTGTAATTCACGAGACACTCGTCATGAAGAAGTTAGTGCTAATTTACAAGATATTTGGATTATTTTGAGCTTAGCCGGTATAAAATAAATGATTGTATATTGTATGAAGCATTATATTTTAAAACGTTATTTTACCTCGACTCTGATGTAAAAAAGTGTGCGCACAGTTCCATAAGCCCGCCACAGTTAACTGGTTAAGTCTCCAACTGATTCTACTATCCATCAATTTTCGATTTGTCAATGAATGGTAAACAAACTACGCAAAAAAAAAACTCTAAAATCTAGACGTAAGTGGCATTTTGATCTATGTGTAGATAATCGACTGAATCAATAAGAAAGCTAAAGTAAGAACTATTGTTGATTATTCAATTTGGAGAAATGTTTCAAACATGTTCATTATTTTCGGCAAATGTTTTGTTAGATATTATTGGGAAACGAACATACGCCTAATATATACACGGAATAGCGCCTTGATTCAATCATATAATTAAATTAATTTATATAATATTAATTAATATAATAATAATAATAATAATTTATTTAATAAATTAATTATTTTATATTAATAAACTATTTGACACATGTTTTAATACTTTAATATGTTCATTAAGATCATAAGGAACTCTATTTCCATACAAAGTTTCATTGAAATCGTCAAAAAAAAAAAATTAAATAGTCAATAACGAAGAAACGACCCAACCGATCTTTGCCAAAAACTATAATTATCACGAGTTTTAAATCGTTTAAATAGTTTTTAAATATTTAAAACTGGTTCAAGATATTTGTCTAAAAATGGTAATTTTTTTGCATTTTTCTGCTAATTACAAAGAAAACCGTAAGTGTTTATTGAACTACATCAAATGGCTTTTAAATTTTTTAAATCAACATAACCTTCTCCTTCGGAGAGTTAATTAAAATTACAAATACATATCACATATCCGTCAAAAATCATTTAGATGTTAATTCCAAATGAAATTATGATATGCATATAAATTGCGTTAAAAAAATTTTTTTGCTTTATTTTTATTTTTAACTTTTTTATTTTCAATTATTTTTACAATTTTGTCTTTCCTTCTTATATGATTTTCTTGGATCTAATATGTTTGATCAGGTCAATTATATATATATATATATATATATATATATATATACTCGTATATATATATATATATATATATATACTCGTATATATATATATATATATCTATATAATATATATATAAAAGCTGTACATTGTATTTGCTTCTTGATAAATTTGCATTGAAGATAACATATAAGATTTTCATAAAGTTTGTGATTTTTAACATTGCCTCGAAGATTTTATACTTACATAAGTATATAAATTTTTGTGCAATATATTTCGGATATATAAACTGAGCTCACTTATGAGCGCTTTATTACAACAATTATAATCACGACACTTTCAGTGATATTATATGATATAATTTGTATGCTATATTGTGCCCATTATTCAATTAATTCTTAAAATGTATTTAAAGTATCATCTTGAAGCTATTGAGCAAAACCACTATCATTGTTATCTACTATAAAATTATATTTATAAATGAACCTACATATCAAGTTTCTATATAAAATTATATACATACCTCTTGGTTCAGTTTTAACAAGAGATTGATCAAACTGATTCATTTGATTTGCTTGAGGCGATGATGCCAGAGGAATATTTAACTTGTAATCTGTATGTCCTGCAGCATTACCTTAAAATAATAACAACTATTAATTCATACAATCATTTGATATAAAAAATAAGCACATAAATCAAAACATAATTCAAGACAAAGCGCAAATGTAAAATTTCAGACGTATAAGCGAGGAATCTATACATATTATCTACACATTTAACATATTAATAATATCATGCTATAATCAAGGTATTGTATTTTTAATCGTAAACAAATTGCAGTTCATGAAAACACATTTTTAATTAAAATTCGCCACAGAAACACATACTAATAGTTATTATACTGTCAGAAACAGTCAAAAACTTCATGCAAAAAAAACATTTTCGTTTTTTTTTACAAAAATAAGTAAACAACGAGATCATTGATTATTAATTTTGCTTTAATATTTAAAAAAAATCGTTTTTATATTCAAAACAATAATTTTTCAATATTTCAAACAATACTATAAAATATATCAGAAACTTTATCGATTAACTCGCCGTTGCTTGATCTTTCTAATACATGCCCCAAATGAAATAATATGTGATAAATTAGAATTACATGCAAAATTTGAGTGTCTGTTGATTAAACCCTTGCTCCAAATTATTTACCTTAGACTAAACATGCAAACTCATGCAAACAATGAAGATGAATGATGAAATAAATTCATACATAAAGCATAAAATTTACATAAACAAAAAGGTTACTTACAGCATGAATACTTACTGACAACAGGTTTAATTTGTTTAAAACCTTAAGATAAGATCGAGAGAAAAAAATTGAAATTAAACTAAATGAAAAAATCTTTTTGTACAGTTTGTTTAATGTGTTCATGGCACACAGTAGTACAGTTTCATATAATAATATTATAAAACAATTATGTATACCTAAAGTTAATTAAGTTCTTTTTCAATATACATATTTAACTTAGTTTGACACAATGGTCTACAATTTATTAACAATCCGAAAACAACTAATAAAACTTAATTAGTAGTCTATACCATGTACTAAAATAACATGAGTTCTATAAAATCTAGTAGAAATCAATTAAAAGTATATCCTAAAATGCATAAGCACAAAGAACAGTGATTCACTAATTCTCCCTTGACAAATTTGAAACTATTTAAATATGTAGTATATAAAATGTATAATTTTATTTCCAATCGATAAATAACAAATATCAAAAACCAGAGAACAAAACGGAACATAACAGTTATCAGGTAACATAATTTCAATTATATATCTGAACAATTTTAATAAAATTCTTTACATAATAACATATTTCAACCATTCTCTCGAATCATTTAACAATATATATTACTCTTACATTTGTAAAATAATTATATTTTCCATAATGCAATAAATCATAAGAAAGCTTTTTTCTGCTTTAAATGTAGCATTAGAGTAATTAGGCTAATCAAATATTCCCTTATACTTTTATGATATGATTGATTTCAAAGCAACTTTGTTACTCGTAACAGTATAACATTTTTATTGGTACCTTGTAAGGTACTAATTGTTGTGCTAATACATATTGGCACCATCTTTATGCAAGCTATTTAGTATTTTTCTTTTTCCTTGACACATGCTTTTAGAAAGCTTGATTTTTTAATAAACTGCATATACATTTAGCAAAGTATCTGTGGTAATAAATTTCATTGCTTGCTTTTGTTAACCTGTCCATACTAGTGATGAATGGTATGTAAATGCATGTTATTTTTATGATTGCAATGAATTTATATGGCAATAATAAAATGAAAATATAAATTACATAGGTTAAAATGCGTTTTTATAATTTATCACTTCCCTAGAAAAATTTAACCGATAAATAATGAAAAATGTTAAGTGTTAATATGTAAATAAGACGTTATGATATGAGTTTTTTTATATTCATCCAACACCGTGATTCACCGTCACCTTAACATTGTAACCCTGTTTGATTTGCTGATAAAAAAAGTAAAAGTTGAAAATGACTTACTCGTAGAAGGATTTTGACCCTGCAGTTGCCATAAAAGATGTTTTGGATCCCCGTCAATTTTTTGCCGTTTTCGTTTTAATTCATGCGGGTCTAGAAACATAAATAATATAGTTATGTGTTTTTCGTAACCCGTATCAGTTTTAGTTATATAAATATTTAAGTACAAAAATTATATGCCTGCTGGTTTAATTCATTAGCAGCGTATATGCAAGATTGAGTTCACCAATAACTATTATCTAAAATGTATTATAAAAACAGACCTAATTATTGGTTCCCTCACTTGCATTATTTAAGCACACATAACATTCTAGTATGCTACAAAATCTAAATCTCAATACAAATTATTCTACATTAATCTACAATATTTATGGCTGTCACATTATTAGCAGATCCAAAGCTAATTAACTTTCCGCCACCAATAGGGGCGTAAAAACAAGAAGTTTCATCAAACTCGCTAGTTGTCGCATGCGGAGCAAGATCTGTATACAGAGCGTAATGTTCCGCTTCTGTTATATCCAAATGCTGATCTAAATCGTTAAGTATCTGCTCTCCATATAACTGTTTGACACTTCCAGCATCAATCTTTACGAGACCTATGCTACCAAACTCGGAAGGTGCAAGGCTATCCTTAACTTTCGGCGCAACATTAAGAGAGTGAGTGCTTCCTCCACCAATATCACCCTTTAATGGGATATGAATCATGTCCGGCTTATCTTTGAAATCAGGTCGTTTGCCCGAAGTGCTACTGACACTTCTACCTACTGGCTTAGATTTTTTAGCAAATCGAGCAGGTTGCTTTTTGGCAGGTGGAGTAGCGGTATCACTAGTCATGCGTAAACTGTGGACAGATCCAGCTCCGATGGGTGTTGCTTCTCCTAAACTGGGTTCTCGAGACGCTGGGCTACTGTATGATTTATCACCTTTCTTTGGTTTTCTCGAGAATAGTTTACGAAGAAAATTTCTTTTTTTTCGCGGCAATGTTTCTGCATTAACAGTTTGTGGAACTTCATCTGGCGATGAATCAATAACAATAATTTGAGATTGAGGACGGGATTGAGGAAGACTTGGAGTAGATTCATTTAATACTGGTTCTTCAACAGACTTATTGTTTTGGCTCTGTAATTTAAGTGATAGATCCGGAGTAGCTGGTGTTTTCTTAACTCTCTTGGGCGGAAGTGGAGGTAGTTTTTTCTTCGCCTCCATTTTCTCTTTTACCGTTTAAAATTGGCGATGCTTTCTTTGGTGGCACCGGTGGTTTTGGGCCGATTGGAGGTGCACTAATTTGAATAACTGGCGTAACTATTGGGGTTGCCATCAACTCTTCTAAAGTAGTTACAGACATTTCTTGAGGCGGTAGCGATAGAGCTAAAGGATTCTTGAAAGCCATTTGAAGACTTGTGTATGTGGCACTGTCATCAAAATCCACGTCCATTGGACCCGAATTTGTTTCGATTTCGTTCGTTTTCGCTTCATTTTGCAAAACTATCTGATGGGCCTGAGTATCTAAATAAATTTCATCTAATTCCGCAACTTGTTCCAGAAGTTCTTGCAACGATTTATCTCGATTATCAACGACTTTTTCTGGTTCTTCGGTATTATTTTGCTGAGCGTTGTCAACAACATCTTCACTGATGACTACAACTTCACTATCAGAATTATTTACGATGGATTCTGCGTGCCCGTTCGTAGATTTGAAGGGGTCACGAGACGACGTAACGCCTCGAGGCGCTTTGGTACATACTTAGGGTTTGTCCAAAATGATGACCTACCTGAATCTAGTGGAAGTAACTGGAATTTCAA